GGGGGGTTGGACTAGATGACCCACAGAGGTCCCTTCCAACCCCTACTATTCTGTGATTCTGTGGGGGAGAGGGACCCCAGTTTCGGGGGAGCGATGTTAGGGGCTCCCATGGCTAAAGGGGGGGTCCTCAGTGCTCCCCGTGGCCTTGCCAGTGCCCATCACCTGGCAGCATCAAGCCCTTTTTTGGGTGTGAAAACCCCCTTTTTGGGGGTGAAAAATCCCTTTTTAGGGGTGAAACCCCCCTTTTTGGGGGTGAAAAATCCCTTTTTGGGGGTGAAAAACCCCTTTTTGGGACAAACAACCCCGAAGGAATTCCCACGAGCTCCGTCCTCCCTTGCAGCCCCTTTATCTGTGTCAAAACCATCTTCCAGCCTCTGCTTCCAGGGTTTGGGGCTTCTCTTTTTACCCCCTGATAAACCCTTTTGAGCTGGCGCCCTTCGAGGCCGTGTAAATACCACGATCCTTCCCCCCAAAAAGAAGCTTGATAAAAGGCAAGGGGTGGTTATGGGATTTGGGGAATCATCGCTGGCTCAAATAATTCCCATTTCTCCGGCCAAAGCCCCGCTCCCCTTCACCTACCGTTGATTCCCGATGTGAATTGCCCTTTTTTTAATCGTTTAAACGCAACCAACCCTCGGAGCGGGGGGCGAGGCAGTCCGCCCACGTGGAAATCTCACTTTTTTTACCTGTTTTTCATAGAAATTTGGCCAGCGCAAGCGGGAAAACCCCACTTTTACACAAAGTAAGTCTTTATTGAGCATCTCACCGAGGACTTTGGCAACCTCTCCTCGCAGCCGGAGGCTCTCTCCCTGCGGCGAACCGCTGCGCGCTCGAGGGAAGGCTGGGTTTTGTCGAAAAAGCTGGGATTTCCCCCCGGGATGGGCCGGGTTTTGGGTCTTTTGGGTTTTTTGGCACCTGACAGGGTGCTGCTACGCTCCGCGGGGTCGCGTCGCGTCCTCTCTGCTCCCTCCTTTGCCAAAAAAATAGAGGAGGGGTCCCGCTATGAACCACCGGCATCCATCACCCGGCCTGGGGGCGCGCCCGGCTCCTGCCCGATGCCCCCTCGATATTCAGGAGGTGGGGTCTCCTCCGGTTCCCCACCGCTCCCCAAGCTGTCCCCGAGCCCCGGC